GTTTGGGTTTGTGTTTGTGTTTGTGTTTGTGTTTGTGTTTGTGTTTGTGTTTGTGTTTGTGTTTGTGTTTGTGTTTGTGTTTGTGTTTGTGTGTGTGTGTGTGTTTTTTTTTTGGGGGGGGGGTGCGTGCGTGTGTGTGTGTGTGTGTGTGGGTGCGAGTGTGTGTGTGTGTGTGTCTCTGTGTGTCTCCGTGTGTGTGTGTGTCTCTGTGTGTCTCCGTGTGTCTCTGTGTCTCTGTCTGCCTATGAGTATGTCTATGAGTATGTATTTATGTACGTAGGTTCGAAGATAGGAAGGTAGGTATATAATATGGTAATGTAATTGTAATGTACTGCAATGCAATGGTGTGGCATGGTGTCGTATGTATATCTGCTTATGTGTGATGTGATGTATGTGTAATAATAGTATGTACACGAACACAAGTGTATAGATATCACGCATGCACATGTGTGGCTATCATTGATGCAGGACTGGACTTGTCTCTATGGACCCATTATAGGGTAGCCTTACATCGCAGGTGGTCAAGTTTCGACTGCGTTCGAGTGATCTTCACTCGAGGACCATGGGAGCTTGGGGTCAGAAGCTGCAGCAGTGCTTTCGGCTCAAGGTTCATACAACCCTCTATAAGGCCCTGAAGACCGAAACCCCAGACCCCTGAATTTCTGGATATAGGGCTGAGGGTTGGAGAGCTCCCAGAGGCCAGGCAAAACGTAAAACCAGACCCTGCGTGGGGCTTTCCTTTGTTCGAACGGTTGAGTTGCAAATAGCACGCTCTTCAACCTGGAACTCCCGCGGTGAACTGCGCCACTGCAGTGTTGCCTGCATCTAGTAGGCCCCAGACGCAAGTCATGAGATCCGGTAGCGCTGCACGAGAGTGGTGACAATACTATTTTAGCCCGCTAGAACCGTAGACCCCTAAACCCTAAACCCCAATCCGCAAACTTCAAAATCGCAAAACCTCGAAACCCTGTCCGAACCCTCATACTAACTACAATACTGCTAATCTGCTAGCATAAATACGGGCCTTGGTAGCTAGAAAGGGAACACACCAAGCCCCGGCGACTACTCGGGCTTCTCCATTACACAAACCTTCGTAGTTGAAAAGCATCCTAAATCCTACAACCCAACCCCCCTGAACCCTACATCCTGAACCCACAACCAACAAACCCGGGTCGGTCCCCGAAGCCTCCGAGAGTCCAGGATCCACTTCGAGCAGCTCTCTCCAAATCTCACGGAGCGTATGGGACTCGTGAAATTCGAGGTCCTTCGCAGCTCCTGTAGGGTTTGTTTTTCAGATTTCTTTACAAGGGCTCTGTACGGCTCTATGGCTGATCATCAGGCTTATGTGTTTTTGGGGGTTTCATACGGGAGGCTAGCTCGAAAACGTCAAAATCGCCATGGCGCGCAGGGCTGCAAAGTTTTCGGATTGGGCGGGAGTCGAGGCAAAGTCATCAAATGGTACATGGCCCAACTGGGCCCGAAACCCCAAGCTCTAACCTAAAATGAACCCTCATGGGTTTCGGTGTCACTGTTTCTTCGGTCAGTGCCTTCGTAGACGGATAGAATCTTTTGCTTCTAGGATCCTCAGCGCTTCAACGCACAGGGTCGGAATTCGTCATCAGAACTGCCCCTTGTAAATTCCCTAAATAGTCCAACCAACCAACCAAAAAAAACAAAAGCCTGTTCTACATTGCAAGGCCCCTAGATTGCATTCTGAGCAGCTCACCGGTGGAAGGTCTCATCCCTGTTTAGACAACTTAGGGTTGAGGGTTGAGGATACTTTTGAGTTTGCCTGCCCGGCTCAGGATGTGCAAAGCCGTCGCAAGCCTCATACGTGCACACATAAGCGAAAGAGTGCTGTAAGCCCTAGATGCGACATCTTCAACACAGCTCGCATCGCGATATTCATAGGTTCCCAACAGTTTACTCTCAGGTCTCCAAGCACAAACACTCAAGCGGAGGTGGACATCACCAACATGCACATCCTGTCCGAGCTCAAGTCAAAGCTGGACCGGCGACGACCGCAGAGTTTGCTCCCTAGGGTTACAGTTCAGGGTTATCTGCCAGAACGGTCTTTAACCAGTTCTGAGTCGGGAGTGTTGGATTCCTAGAACACTGTTTTGGGCCTGTGTAAGCCCTTACGACTCTGCTACCACAGCAGCGCATCTGCTGCTGCAATTTCTTCTTGCAGAGTTTTGAAACTAAACTACTGCCTACTTACTTGCCAAAGCCCTTTGCGCTTTCAACTTGTCCGGCAAAAAGTGACACGCTCTGGATTCAGACTTTGGGTGTGGGGCTTGCCAGTACAGTGTGTAGATCCCAAAAAATACAAAGTCGGTTCTAGTCGGTTTTGTGGCCGAATGCACCACCAAACTAGGCGAACTGACGGAAGGCGAGCAGGGGTTAATTGAAAGATGTAGGGCTCCAGAGCTTAAACATTTACGGGTTCAGGGTTTAAGGTTTCAAGCATTGCGCATGGCAACGCTTCTCCAAGGTCCAAACACAAGCTCTCGCAGCGTACGGGAAACGAGGGTCGAGGGTTCAAGTCTGAGGCTTGCTTCTTGGTATTGCAGACATGGAGTGTTCAAAGCTTTGCACGATTTTCTGTGTTCTCCCTGAGCCTAAACCACGGGAGCACCGTGGGTGCTTTGAGATGCTTGGGTATCCTGAGCTCTTGCCCCACAACCCACACCCGCACTCTGCACCCCAGATCCAGAAAGACGCTTTGCTGGGGTGAGGGCTCCTGGCTCCTCAAGGGCTTTGAGTTCAGGGTTTGAGATTTCACGGGATTCGGGCCCTGCTTCTGAAGGGTGTAGCGGACCCACTCCAGATGTGCAGACAGGATCTGAGAACCAATCGCCTTCTGGGACCAGTTGCAGGCACTGCGGTTTAGGGGTTAAGGCTTTATGGGTTTGGCAGGATTGAAGGTGTTGCGGGCCTTCATGTCACAGGGGTTCCAGGATCTTAAGATTCGGGGTTTTTGTATGAGGGCTTCAGTTGGAGTCTTGTATCTTGTAGCATGTGATGCCATGGCTGTTGATCTCTGAGATGAACTTGTTACAGTTGTTCATTCGCCCTGTCGCAGTTGTTTTGTGTAGATCAAGAACCAAGCACTGGATTTTGGAGTGAATTTGGAGGCTAATGCCCGGAAGCCCACAGCTCTAAGCTGGAGAGATCTGGAGAGGGCCCTGATCGTGTCGCACATCGCGCGGCATTCAGTGCATTCAGATCAATTCGGCCTGCACCTCGTTCTCCACCAAAACCTAGGTATCCAGTCCTACTGCAAATTGCTTTGACCAGCTTCTTGCCATGTTTTGCATTGCTCGAAAGGTTTCGTGTTAGGATTCATAGTTATACTTGGGAACACCCTGCGACACGCCGGTGCAACGCCTTCAACTAACGACTGCAGGCACGCCTCTCAAGCGTCGGGACAAGCTGCTGCGTTCCTTGCACATCTCGATCAGCTAAAGCATCAGCGGAAAGCTTCAAAGCCATAACGACCTTAGTCCCAACACCCTGAATACTCCTAAAAGGCCTGCACAGAACTCTGTGAGAGCCCCATATAAAAACTTGATCTTTTGAAACTCCCAAAGCCCGAGACACTCGAAGCAGACTTCTGAAGGCTTTAGGTCTTTCATAACCCTTGATTGGGTGCCGGTGTCTCCTGTATTGAAATAAAGAACGGGAAACGGGGTGTCTTTGCTGGTACGTGCTTACCTGAAAACTTAATCTCCAGTGAACGTCTTGACGCTTTGGGTTTTCAGGATTTAGGTTTTCGGGTTTAGACAGGAGACGGTTCACGACATGGAGCAGTCCGGAATCAAGAGCACTGCAGCACTAAACGCCTCAGCGTGCTAGTGTTAAACCTCGGGCCTCGCAAATACGCAGCCTCAGGCCCTGATACCTGTGGCCCCAGCCAGAATCGCGAAACTACGAAGCTTGCATGTGCAGTTCAACCCGTCTGAAGAGTTGGCTGCCGTCACGTCTACATGAGCCACATACACCGACAGATCGAACCCAACTCCGCAAATAGCCCGAATCTCTAAACACCTGCTTAACACAAACTACAACTTTAGATCCGTGGCCTTTGCCCAAGGCTTTGGGCCTTTTGATGTGGCTCCTGGCACCTTGTCGCCAGAATTGTGGCAGAAGGTCGAGGCGGGTTCGGAGCCGCCTTCCGAGGGTTTGGGCCTAGGGCTTAGAGAGGGTTTGTGGTTTTAGGGTTTTGTGCATAACCCCAAAAGGCCCTGCTGCGAGTATGCCTGAAAGTAAGAACCCACTAACACCCTCCATCCCACAAAAGCCCTAAGCCCGACAAAGCCCCAGATCCTAAACACCAGAACCCATAAAATCAAAACACGAACCCCTCGAAAGCCTTAACCAACAGGGACCATGAAAGCAGGTTATACAAAAATGGTGATAAGTAGAACTAATCCCCATCAGGGGACTGATAATAGTCCCAGGTACGACCTACCTGCTAAGTCCCGTGCTACAGTGCCACTAGGGATCCCCTTTTGAGGAACCCCGCACCTTACGATTACGCGCAGGAGCGCCTTGTGCGCCACGCGGAGCGCCCGAAGCGCGGCGACGAGCCCGTGCGATGCGTTTTCCGGACACCTGGCCGGTCATCTTAATTAGGGTTTGTGGGTTTCATGGGGTTCTACAAGCTGTTACTTCCTTCCAGGTTGAGTATTATTGGCCTACTTCGTTTATGTAGTTGAGTTCTTGCGGGCCTTGGAACCGGCCAAAAATCGCACCCTGGGCCTGCAAATGGGGTAGAGGAATGTAGGGCTCGGGATCAAATTAGACCCAAACCCTCCATTCTCAGTTCCATACCTGGAGCCCGGGGTTACTATTTAGTTGCTGGCGTCCCAATACTGGACCCTGTTGTCCGATTCTTTGACTTCAAGACTCTGCTCGGAGTTTTTCTTCATTGAAATCCGGTCCCTGCAAGCGCGCCAAAGGATCAGGTAATTATGTATATGTCTTCAAGCGTTCGTCGCGGTTGCGTCTGTGCTTCTGTTCTTTCTGTGAGTCGATTTTTTCCCGTTTACATACTTACGCACACAACTCGCAAACACACATGCCTGACGCGATTTGAAACTGATTCCAATGCAAAAGAGGTGATGGTCTTATGTGCACCATTAGGGCTTGTGGTTGGCAGAGGGAAGGGCTCGATGGTGGGGGCGTAGAGCAGCATCCTCCTGCCGGAATCTGCAGTACCCTCAGTTAGAGGAGGCAAGGCTGTCTTGCACAGTACTACCAAGCTGCTCCGAACCGAACCTGTCTGGGCCTCCGCCGCCTCTTGGAGTCCCTCGCTTCGTAAACTTTCTCTGCCCATAGCCCCTCCGAGTCTTCGACGGAGGCATGGCATCTTCGAGGGCACCGTTCGATGGCCGACGCCACCTTTGGGCGAAGGGGCGGTGCCTCATCGCGTGCTTTTGGTTGTCCTGGAGTTTTGCGACGGGTCTTTCACAAGGAAGAGAGGCTTCAAGAGGTTTCTCCTTTGAACTTTCAGGTTTCAGCAGCCGTTGACCCTAGGCACCGCAGAAGTCAAGCCCTAAACCTAGAAGACCCTCACCGTAAATCTCGAGATCTCACGGAGCACCAGCCGCAAGACTTCACTGATCTAGACCCTTTTTACCAGCGCATAAACTCAGAGCACCAAGGCCAACCAAGAACCTCTCCCTGAAACACCCGAGACAGGTTCACCACACTACTAAACTTTTGTACCCGAAAATTTTTAACCCAAAAGCTTCGGTAGGTCTGTTTGAATCCGAAAACCGTGCAGCTTTCTCAGGTGGTGCCGCGGCTTCCCTCTTACTTCCATTCTTACCGGGACCTGGCTGCGAGGCCCTACCAGGAAGCCATGGCGCCTCTCGCCGGAAGACGAACGATCGCAGAAGCTCAGAGTTCAGGGTTCAGGCTTTGGGGTTTAAGGTTCAGACTTTGTTCCGGTTTGGGAGGTAGGCTCTGAAGATCAAGCTTTGGCTTTGAGGGGTAGGGTATCGCTTTTTTGGACCTACGGAGAGTTGAAGTAATCAAACGCAACAGCTTTCCGGAAGATGAACACTTTACTTGTAGCTGCAACCGTTGATAACAGTGTCGCAGTTTTGGTGCAGCACCGCGAGTCTCAAACCTGTACCTCCCCAGATAGCCTCAGCCCTCTAAACCCCGAAAGACTCGTATGCCCCAAACCCTAAACATGGGTTGCCGGTGTTTCGCCAAGGCGCTTTCTGGCCTCTGCCACAAGCGGCCGGCGGCCGCGAGTTCTGGAGCTGAACTGCGCCCTGGCTGGGACAGGTGTCGAAATCGCTCAGGCCCTATGATGGTCCTGGGTTTCAAGTTTCTGGGTTTCATGGGGTTTGGGATGTGAAGGCTTATGGGGTTTAGTTTAAGGTATGACTCCTTGCGGGTTGTTTTGCAAGGGTTTTGAGTTTAGGACTTCAGCATCATAGGTCAGGTAGCAAAGTCAGTAGGACAAGCAGGATGATTTCAGGTTTGAGTGCTCTTATATAGCAAAGGCCTGATTTGCATTTGCCTTCTAACTGTTTGCTGGCTACCCCAGCCGACGACGATGGTGAAGACGGCACCCGTAGTGACGACTGTGAAAGCGATGTGTGTAGTCACCCTCATCATCACCGCCGTCATCGTCATCATCATCACCATCATCATCATCATACACGCATCGCAGATCTCCTCTGCGACGAGAGAAGAACAAGATCATCATCACCATCATCATCATCATCATAACCGTCATCGCCAGGACCATCACACAAACAACCAGATCAGCAGCACAAGAGACGCAGCAGGATGATGACTATGATGAAGGAGTAGGATGAAGAAGAGGAGGAGAGGAGGAAGAGCAGGGAGATGAATGGCATACGGACAGTGGTGGCGGTTGTGATGCAGACCTTGCTTCTCGTTCACGAGACCGAGACCCGACAAGGGACACGACCTACAGAAGCGTATTCTTGTCTGTTCGTTCCTGACAGCACCAGTCCGAAGACCGAATGATCGCAGGCAAGCAGGCAGAAAAACATATTATTATGTTGGAAGAGCAACTAGAGACTAAATCCGAATCTGACTTGAACTTCACAATTCAATCCGCACAATCACGTGCTGCATGTCGGGCCTTGGATGCATCCAAGGCGGCCCTGTGCCACTGCTCAGCATCGCTGCGTCACAGCTTGGGGCACGCGCTTGGGCCCGAGCCCCAGAAGTTGTAACGTTACAGGGCACCTGTACGGCGTTTACGGCGTTTACGGCGATTAGGGTTTTAACATCTTGTTACAGTCTTAGCGTGACCCAGTGCTGCAGCCTTCTGGATTTAAGCGGCTTTTGGGTTTGGGGTGGCGACACATGGAGGACTCTGCCGTGAGCACTTGAGCCTTTACTTTCGCGATGCTGTCGAGTTTGGGGTGTGGATTCCGAGGAAGCATGCGAAGATGAAGTTCGCCCAGATGCTTATCCGTAAATCCTGAAATGCTACTTCTGAGATTACTTTATATAGTGGGTGGCCACAATCACAATTGCGATGCGCTCTCCGAAGCCGCATTCCATGATTATCACTCCTGCGCGTGCCCAAAGCAAATGCCCTTCCTTCAGAAAATCTAACACCCGAGTACCTTGTCAAACTGCCTATGAACCCTAAGGCCCTAAACCTTGAATCCTTCAGCCAAATCCGACCACCTTGAAAAAGCAAGCTGAACTCAGGCTCGAGAGGATTCTGAAAAGACAGCCGCCTAGGCGAAAGCTGAGTTAAGAAGCATGGAAAGGGGACCCTGGCATAAACTCGAAAGCGGTCCCCAAACTCAAAGTCAAAGGGGCCCTAAACCTTAATCCTAATACACAAGGAAGCCCCTGTATACCTTCTGGACTGAGGCTCAAGAGGCCCTTCCCCACCTTCGTGACCTGGCGCTGGAGGCAGCCGGAGCCTGAGTTGGCCGTCAGAGCTCGGGATTAAAAGGTGCTGCAGGGGTTGGGGTTTCGCGTAGCATTGAGGGCAGAGTTCAAGGGCTTTGGGCCATCAGACATCAGAGCGTAAGTTTTCAAGGATCCGGAAACATCCAAAACCCTACACCACCCTCTGCAGAGCTATTTATACCTGAACCCAAGTCAAGGTGACTTTGTCTCAGCTGAACTTGGGCTTAATGAGTTTAGCGCTTGTGGGTTTTTGTCGTGACTGCTCGATTGACAGGCTTCGTGGTGCACCGGTTGCAGCAGCCTTGCTACTTTTTGTATTTGTGTTATTCGCATACTTTAGTAGCAGTACGTGGGTTTTAATGATATTATCTCCAGTTTCGTATGCTCCGTGAACAACCTTGCCGGGAGGCGAGGCCTAAGACTCGAAACGGAACCCGAGCCAGCTGGAGTTTTGCAAGTGCCCCGAGGTCCGAGAGCAAGGACTGGAGATGGTTTTCGATCGCAGAGGTTTGGCCAACTACAGCCACGCGACTGCGATTTGGGGACAGGGAAAGAAGCATACCCCGAGCATACAAATGGAAAAAAGTGCATTTGCCAGTTCCGACTGATGCCAAGCCTGCGGTTCACAAAACTGCTTGCGATGTGTCGTGATGCGTGGCCGCTTGGCTCCGGACTATACAAGAGTCGAAAGCCTGATTCGAGGGCGTAGAAAGTGCGTGTGGCCTGGCTTATCCGATACTTGCAGTCGGCCGCAGGAGAGCTGGATGCATGCAAAACTTCGTAAACCAGGGTTGGTGGGACAGATTATGGCAGGGATCTCCATTTCCACGAGGAACTGCCCAATTTCAGGTACGCTCCATAGATCGCCTCGGTTTAGGCCAGACAAGGATGTGTCAGGAACATGTTGGGCTCGTGCACATCAGCTTGGCGCAGTCTGCGCTCAGTCTTCAAAACAAACTCTGAACTATGCACGTCATTATGGATGACCTTGGCGTACACTAACCAAAATGATATCAGTAGCCTCCGTGCGAAATATCCACATAACCCAGGTAATAACTCGACGCACTCTCGAGTGAGACCGGAAGGTTGATTCAGAAGACCATCGCCAAAACGATGTCGTTTCACTCGGCTTGCCTGTGCGATAGTTGTCTTAATTCGTCTAGTTGACAGTCGCAAAAGCTAATGAGCTGTTCAAGCTTGAAACCTCTATCAGTGAGCTTCCCTCTAGACTGTCCACATGACGATCCACAGCCAAAAAAGACGTGTGATGAGCGAGTGGTTGGTACACGAGCGAGGCATCCGGCAAGGATTACAGATGGGTTGATATTCTATATGGGTGCGACATGCATTTGTTTTGGCATGCAGCCTCTGCCAGCAGCAACTTCTCCGAAAGGCAGTCTTCTGCCCAGCCACTTTGAGAACTGTAACACAAAACAACGAAATCCTAGAAAGCCAGAACCATGATCCGTCAAATCTTGAGACTGGAGGAAGCTGTTTGCATGCATTGCAAAAGAATTTAACTGCAAGCCTTCTTCTTCAGACCATGTCTACACGACGAGCACAGTCATACACATAGTATATCCTGCCTCAGGTTAACATCCACTACATGGCAATGTCGTTGTGAGACTGTGGCCACCACAAATCTCAAAATGGAAAACACGTGCTGTGTAGAAGGGAGACAGAGAGAGACAGAGACAGAGACTGTGAGCGAGAGAGACAGAGAGAATGAATGAGAGAGAGAGTGAGAGCGAGACCGAGCGAGAGCGAGAGCGCGAGCGAGACGGAATCACCCCGAGAGAGTGCAGACAACCCCACATCTCAAAAACTCCGAGCACTAGGCCTCACACTCATACTGCAAGACTAGACAGACCTCTAACCGCTCTTCATCTTCCAAGGCAAACTCACACCAAAATTTACCGCCTAAACCCTGAACCTTTGCCGCAAATTCTTTCTGATGTGCTCAAGGCTTCTTTGGCACGCCCAGGACGCGACTTTGCTGCCTCGGTCCGGTGTATGATTGAACCCTGCAAGAAAACCACCTTACGATTATATGGCTTTAGATAAGGACCCTTTTTCGTCGGTCCGGGAAATGTGTAGAGATTGTGCCATTGGACTTTCGAGCACCCCAGGAGGTCTTTGAGATTAGGATGCCGGTCTTCGGTCATCGAACCTTGGAGGATCTAATAAAGGGGGCCTTTAAACAATTACCAAACCATTTTGGGTTTCTTATTGTGATTGTAGCAACAAGTAAAACATACCCCAAAGCCCTTATTAAGGCCCTAAATTAGGTGTTCGGAGACGTGGGTTCTCAGTTATCAAACGGCCGGTTCTCAAAATTTGCATTCGCGCCGAAATCTACCTGCGCCCTGCGTCATATTTCCTTCCCCGCATTCCCTCAACAGGCAGAGAGGCTGCACGCAGTGAACTCCGAGTAGGTCAGCTTCCGAGGCTGAAGCCCCCGAACAGATCAACTCAGGAGCTCTTATCCCCAACACCGCAAGGTTTGGGGTTAGGGTTTCGGATGTAGAGAACGTATAGTTCGAAGCCCCAAAACCGCCGACTCCCTCATTCCCTTTTCGTGGGCTTGGTTTTGGAAGACCCTGGACATTTGAGAGCCGAAATGCCACAGGTAAAGCATAAGCTCCTGAATCCTTCCCCTCCCTTCTCCTTCCAGGACTGTGTCCTTCGACTCTGCAAACCATCGGACGCAGAGTATAGAGCATAAGGCGTGGAAGCCTAGAAACCCCACACCTTGAAGCTTATAGGGGAGTATGTTTAGGTTGCACTGGATCCCCACAACCAAGGCCCGACGATGCAGCTGTGCGAGTGCTCAAAGCCTGCCCAAGTACGTCCCTCGAGGCCTGGGGCTGGCTGATTTGACATCTTCACCTAGGGGTCCAAATAAGTTTGTAATATTATTCCCTGAAAGTCCCTTTTGCAAATATGGTTCATGTGCCGGAAACCCTATTTACTGAATTTCTAGTTATGACAGTGTCGTCTTTAGTTCTCCGTTCGTTCATTCGTGCCGACATTCCTTCATTCCAAACATCTTGTGTTTGTTCGCATCACACTGGTGATAGTCTTGCACGTTTCGGCCGCCATTGTGGGTCTGGTCAGCAGTACAGATACATTCAAACGTCCTTCCATCCGCAGCCCAAGGGAGCTTGAAAGGTCAAGTTCCATAAACAACCCTCTCCCCTCTTTGAGAGCCTATAGGGTCTAAGAATGGAATCATTCAACCTCGAGACCCCAAACCCTATGAGCCCCGAAACAAATTCCCTCGCCCCGCCCCGAAAGACGACCCTACCCTCAAACCCTCAAATCCCATAGGGCCGTAATGCCTAAACAGTCTTTCGCTTGCCCCCGAAGCCTTAACCTTCGCATACAGCCCTCCCTGCAAAACCCCAGCCCTACGAAAACCTCGCAGACCCCTGCAAGAATAGAAATAAACAATAAAGACACTCTAGACATCCTAAATCCTGAACCCCCATTGTTTTAAGGTGAGCAGCCGAGATCCCAAGTTTCTCGACTGCGCCGGCGCGGATTTGCTCCTCTGTCGGCCGGATCCCTCGGGGCAGCGCTGACGGGTCTTGTCTTGACGCGTCTTGAGGGAAAGCGCCTGAAACTTAGGGGTTTGGGATTTTAGGGTTTAGGGTTTCAGGGAGCATGTGTTTTGCTTGATTGTGAGTTTTCCTCACCGATAACACCCTATGAATGATATTGGTGCTGTTGAAACTGACACCGCCATGGTTTAGCCTGTCGGCTTCTTCAGTAACGTGCTAAGAAAAGTTTGTAGCCCATATTTTCAGAAATGGCCTTTAAAGTTCCGGGCTGCGGTGTTCTGATTGTGTGAATGCAACTGCAGGGTTGAGAGGGCTGAGGAAGTCAACGACTGCAATGTCAAGGAGTTTCGGCCAGAATCCTCTTCGTTCTCCGGCTAAACCTTAAAAACCCTACTCGTAAACCAAAGCATCGGCGGGCCCCGGAAGGTGCAGGGGACCCTCACCTGCCAGAGCCCGAACCGCCAGGCCTCTTGCACTCGACTACTTGGAGGTCATGTGCCACGCCCAGGCCTGCCTCTCGGGTTTTAGGGCTTCAGGGTTCGAGAGGGGGTTCAGGGCTTGGGGGTTTGAGGGTTTGTGGAGTTTTGGAGCTCTGGCTAACTCAGGTTGATAATGAAACATGGAGGTCTGGCTCTGACTGACAAAGTAGTAGTAGTAGTAGTAGTAGTAGTAGTAGTGGGGCCCAGATTGCCGCACAGCGCGGAAGACTGTAGAGCCCCAGCACCCGCCATGGGTGCGTCTGCCGGCTACAGGCAAGTGTTGCATGACATGCGTGCCATGCACAGGCTGGGCATTCAGGTTTCGCCCTCAGCCGACATGATGGCGATCATGGACGATAAAGACACGCTGTGCCAGATGACTATATTGAGCATTCGTTCGGAGGACATGCTCGTCTACTTCACGGCAGATGAGTTTGCGACTGGCTCCAAGAAGATGCCGGCTTTTCAGCTGAGCGGCATCAAACAGAACAGAGGCTCGTCATGCGAGGGCATCTGGATCACCAAACGGCAACCTGGCAGCTCGTGCCCTTCACCCGATACGAGGGCGTTTGTGGGCTTGAAGGACATGCTGTACACGGTGGCCATATTGAACATAGTTTGGGAGGACACGCTCGCACACATCACAACAGAGGAGTCTGCGACTGGCTTCAAGAAGTCGCTGGCTTTTCAGCGGCAGGCCTCAAGCAGAGCAGAGGCTCGTCAGGTGAGGGCATCTGGACCACCAAACGGCGACCTGGCAGCTCATGAACTTCACCCGATGTGTTGGCGTTATGCTGAACATAGGTTTGAAGGACGCGCTCGCACAGTTCACCGTGGCGGCTGGTTTCAAGAAGATGCTGGCTTTCCAACCGTGCGGCATCAAGCAGAGCAGAGGCTCGTCAGGCGAGGGCATCTGGATCACCACAAGGTTTGGAGGACATGCTCGCATACGTCACCGTAGAGGATTTTGCGGCTGTCTTCATGATTGCTTTCCAGCGGCGCCGCATCAAGCAGAACAGAGACTCGTCAGGCGAGGGCGTTTGGATTATCAAACGGAACTTGGCAATCACTGCAAGTCTTACGGAGAGGGGTGATGCACAGACGACAAGGCCTTCGATCTGATGACGCTGACTTTGCTATCCTGACTTAGCAGTTCCTGAGAAAGTGAGTGATGCTAGAGCACTTTATATTTGAGTGTGGAGGTCTTATGGCCTTCATTCTGTTGTTGAGTTTGATGTCCCGATATCACCTCCTTGAAGGTGTTTTGGCATCCTGGGTATCTTAACCGTGCAGGGATGGCCTCATCTGATACCCATGAGGAAGATCCTGCACTTCTTAGGTCCGATATGTGGATCGTATACTGTCGGGTGCTTTGATCGCCGGTTTCGGAATAATTACAAAGCATCCTGGGTTTGCCACGCATTCCCAGGTGGTCGTAGTAGTAGTAGTAGTAGTAGTAGTAGTAGCACCCGCCTTCCATTTTCTGTGTTGCTAGAATATGCACAACAGTGAGGTCCCGTTCTGGGGGGCCTCTTTGCGACATTCGAGGTGATCAACTCTCAAACTCCGAAGATCGTGGGCTCCAAGTCTTAAAACTCGGATCAGAAATTGAAAACCCTATAGACCCGAAACCTCCTGAGTGCCGAACTGCAATTTAATGCCAGACACATCTTCGTGTTTTAAGGCTCTGCCGCGTCTCAACCGGAAAGGGGCAAGCAGCTTGGGCCTTAATCATTAAGAATAGGGCTTTCGCGTATCTTATACCACAACAATTAATGAATCCCCAAAGAATAAGTAGTAATTCCTTAGGGCCCTTTTTTCAGCCTTTAGAGGCATAGGAATTCTCGGGATATTCACGTCTCTCTGAGCCCTTGTCAGGAGTTGCTTTCTTCGGGCGGCAGGCGCAAAGAGCAGGGAAAACGCTGTTATTAGCTACGAAGTCGTTCGGTAGGGCTTGAATTTCGAGACTATAGGGCTGTAGGGCTTCGCGAGTGGTTTGGTAATTAATATTGAGCGGCTTGCGGCTCCCGGGATCCGTAAATTGTCTTTGCATCGCTCAACAGGGACGTTGAGACTGGCAGGTTGTGGTTGAGTTGAATTTACTCGATGTCCGGCTCTGCACTAGAGTCTCTGGAGTTCAAAGCACGGTAGAACTACAAGTCCTTCTTGCCGACAAAGCAAGACCAGGTCAAGGAATGTACAGGATCCAATGACGGGATCCCCTAAAATACTGGTAGGATGCCTTTGTTGAGGAATCCAGGGTTGCGGAAGCCAGGCTTATCCCGGACACCTTGTCCATCAAAGCCGCGAACTCAGCCTCAACAAATCTGAGAACAAAAATCTGGGCTGGGTTTGGGGGTGTCGCGGCCGAAGGGATTTCGAGTAGCGGGGAGACACGGGATTCATTTCGCGCAGTGTCGGCTTGGAGACTCTTTGTTCTGTGCCATCAATTCTAAACCCTCGAACACTTCATTGTCATCCACAGCTCTCTTCCATTGCATGGGCGCTTCCGCTTTTAACACTGGCAAAGGTCGGAATGCAATCATATCCCCCCATGATCCCTGTATGATTCTATTCCACACCTCCACCAACAACACAATGGCTTGCAGCCTGAAAGTCTGAGAAACACACGCTTATAGGCATTCTCTAATGTTTGGGGTGTAAGGCTATACGATCAACTCAACGGATCAACCTTCGGAGCCGCCACACGAAACCACTTCAAAGCCAAACCCTGCACGCAAAGGCCAGGGAAATTCTGCAAAACCGGTGCACCCGCAAACCGTAAAGCCTAAAGCCCGAACGATTTCTTCAAGCCCGACATCTCGAGACCGGGACCTAACGAACAGCCAAGGGCCAAAGTCCTGTGCCCCAGAACCAAAATCCTGAATCCTAAAACCCAAGCCGCTGCACTCTGAAACTATACCTTCATTGGCCTAAAACCCAAGCCGCTGCACTCTGAAACTATACCTTGATTCCCAATCCCTGTTCCCTTTGCCCAAACAGTCCTCAAGCCTAAACCCCCAAACCCCAAAACCTACAAAAAGGTTCTTTACTCCTTTGAAAACCCAGCCTTGAACCAACAGACAAACGGAAAAAACCGCCAAAGGTCGCCGCCGTCGCCGGCCTGGAGTTCGTTGACGAGACCCTTCCTCCACTGGGGCATGGCCCAACCGAGGCGCACCCTTCGGGGATTCTAGGATGTCAGGGTTTATAGGGTCTAGGGTTCAGGAGTTGGGAATTGAAGTTTGGGGTTTATTGTTGGGGGTTTCGGGTTCGGGCTGTTGGGGTTCATTTGCCGCCCATGGTGGGGCGTTAGGGTTTGCATGTGGAAGGGCGTAGGACTGAGGGCTCAGAACCTGGAGAGTTTTCGAGATGCCGATGTGGGTTTCATTTAGGATCCGAGGGCTGTTGATGCTTCGGGCTTTAGGGTTTGGGCTCAGGATGTCCTCAGACCTCTCCGAAATCTCAAACACCACAGCCCTCAAGCTTCAGGGGTTCAGGGCGCCTGAAAAGACCTTAGCGAGGCCGCGTTGGCTGACCTGCAGCTCCTGTCGGACGTGGAGGCGGGATCAATAGGTTTGGGGATGTAAAAGCTTTAAGGATGTCAAGTTTCGAGTCCGATGCCGGTGGATTTGGGTTTCAGTCTAGATCTCGAGATGAACGTTTCCCTACACCCTAAGCCGTAGAGCCCGATATACCACACCTACACTCCAATGTAGGGTCGAGGGCTTCAGTGGAATTTGAAGATCGTCTGTCTGGTGGTCCAGGAGATTACCAGCTAGGGTTTCCCAAACTAGGAAGTGCCAAAGCCTTAAGCTGGAGTTCATAGCCACGTGCACGTCACCGCCAACCCCACCTCTGTGGCTTCACGGTGGCGTCTGACATGCTTTCCTGGTTGGAGCAATCGCGATCTTCCCGATTGTTCTTTTCGGTTTTGTCGGCTGTTCACTCGCGTGCCACTGCCAGATTGCTACTCGAAAGGTTTCTCATGAAGCAGGTATTCTTCCGGTATCCCAAAGTTCCAAGGCTATCAGCCAACTTCTGCAGTAGCGAAACGACGACAGGCACGAAATGTCCCTCATCTCTGAACATCGCCATGACACTCCTCCATCAGGTCCCCTTCGAGGTTCGAATAAAGCCTTCTGAGCCAACCACGCCCCCTCAACCCCAGCAGTTCCTGAACCCAACAACCCAAATCCAAACCCCCTGAGCCCTAAACCCAGTTCGTAGACCCCAAGCCGTAAACCGTAGGCTGCCTTGACGATTGACTTGACCAGGCCAGGGTTCTCGGGCTTTCGAGAGATTTTAGGGAGCGAACTGGGCCTTATCATGGGGCGCGGGGGCTCGGATTTAGGATTCAGGGTTTGTGTTTGAGGCGCGTCAGATTTACGTGTTGTTCGATCTTTGATCCCTAGACCTTTATTGAGGGCCCTTAGCCTAGACCCGACACTCGTAAGGTTCGAAGAAGGCTGACTTGGGCTCAACCCTTTTCCTGGCGCGGATGCTTCCGTGGGTTTTTGAGAACTTGTGATGGTAGCTACGGATGGGCTGTGACGGAAAGGTGAGGCTTGTAGAACCGAGTTTCTCACGAGATAAAGTGGCAGTGGTTTGACGTAATTGTTTGTCCATGTACCAGTGCAAGAAAGTAACACACTACACCCTAGGCCCCGAACCTCCTTGTCACAGCCAGCAGAAGCAGCAGTTCACCGGGACTGTAAAGTTCCTTAGCCTCTGAATCCGCAGAGCTTTCCTAGCGCTTCCAGGGAAGCCTTGATGAAGCCCCGAGCCCTCAGCCCTGATCGCCTGAACCCTAAGGCCCTGAGCCTTGAGAGGTCGATGGCCGACCAACTGCCCACCGCAAGGGGCGTCGTAACGGCCTGGGACTGGGTTATAAGGTCATCGGTCCAGTTTCAGGGATGTAGTGAGCCTGCTGAAGCCACTCAGCCGCCGTGCAGCTTAGTTTTGAGGCTGTCAGGCTTTGATTAAGCCCAGGTTTCATGACTTTGCCCCGTTCATGCCTGAACTAAACTCACGGCTTGGAAGCTTGGCGAGAGATAAGTTCGAAGCCCTAAAGCCTCAAAGGGATGGAGATGTGGATTGCAGTGCTGCATTTGTTGTGCTCGACCCTCAAACTCCCGGACCGAGTAGCTCGACTGATGGACAAGAGTTTCTCGATGGTGTTTGCATACCGTTGCAGTGTACAGGGCCTGAAACTTTGATCTGTGCAGCAAGTATAGTGGGTAATCATGTTCCTGTTTTGGTCCTATATATTCCTGAATAAGTGCAGGTGTGTTTCTCGGTACTCTCGCTTCAGCAGAGTCTTGCCTCTATTCCAGGGAAACCTTGCTAGGTCCTGAGTTTGCTAGACCGTCAAACCACGAGCCGAAACCTTCAACTCCAAACCCCTAACAAGAACCCAACCCACATTTGCACCCCCTGAAGCCTAAATCCTTATAAATTAAACCCACTAAAGCCCGAAATCCTCGAGCTACAATGCCAGGGAAAAGGCTCCGCTTTAGTCGACCTCCAGCCCTCCCCTCACAGCTTCGCGTTTTGGGGGTTCGGGGTATGGACAGAGAACTGTCCGTGTGCTTGATGTTCTGGGATCCAGGGACTCTGCCCTAAGCCTTGAACCGTAACCCCGCAGCCCCTAAACTCCTAAACGAAAAGCCCTCCTTTGACGAACGTTCAAGAGCCGTCTGCGAAAATCGAAGCCGCTCGACGGCTTCATCAAAGCTCGCGGGTGCCTTTCAAAAGACCTCTAAATGAGAACATACTGAGATACGCCTTCTGATTCCCTAGTAACTTAGAACCTTGACCCTTTGCTGACAGTTCTCCTGAGGTCACACAAGCCGGTCGCGTGTCTGGCCTGGCATACTGGCACCAGCCGGCAGTGGACGGCGAAGAATTAGGCAGGATGGGCTTGACAACCGGGGTTGTGAGTATGCATGTAAACACATATGTTCTGTGCGAAAAGCATGTGCGCATGTACCGGGAACATACATACATAATGGGGACCCCTCGTAAAGGTACTGGGTGGGTGGGTTCATACCGTGCGACCTATTTCCGGGAGAGTGCGGGGGGGAAGGAAATACGTACCGGGGGGACACAGAAATAGGTACCTGGGGATTGACCTGAGTATGTATGTACTATGTCCGTATCTATGTATGTACATGTATGCATGCATGTGGGGAGTCTTGATTCGAATAACAGGCATCCCTGCACAGGCATTTTGCTTTGACGACGGTCTTTTGTCTGCCCTACTAGATAGACAGACAGACAGACAGACAGACAGACAGACAAAGAGACAGACAGACAGGAGAGACAGATAGGCCTATCAACAATCCATAACACTCGTGAGTCGCCTGGCTTGTCCGAGATGTGAGAGCGCAACATTACAAGAATCCCAAAACGTCCGGGAGCCAGTGCCATGGGGTGGTCATGCTGGTATCGGTCGTATGGGAACACGAGGCCCGTCTCACCTGCGAAACAACAGACCAGGTGCCGGGGTGGACTAAAAAGGATGCATCCGGTGAGAGTCCTTAAACCCC